AGGAAGGAAGGAAGGAAGGAAGGAAGGAAGGAAGGAAGGAAGGAAGGAAGGAAGGAAGGAGAAGAAGGAAGAAAGGAAGGAAGTTTTAATGCATGGAAGAAAGGAAGGGTGAAGGGATATTTGGATTGAAGGAAAGAATTAAGTAGGTTACGGGTAGAAGAGAGAAAGAGTGTGATAAATAAGAACCAGGATGAGATAAAAGAAAGAGATACCCAGAGGAGACAGGAGTTTCCAACTTTTGTACAAGGCATCGTTAATGAAAGTTCACTACTTTTTGCTGTTTCCCATATATTCTCCTTGCACACAACTCAGTTGTACCTTTATTTAGTGGACGTTTTTGACCATGTGTTGGGGACAAATGAGTAAGACATGATCTCCTCTCAGAGAGGGGAGTTTAAAATCTCAGGCGGTCACTCAGGTTGATGGTCTTGTTGCCTTATTAGTACAATCCTGACTGTACCGTCACCCCCACCTGCCATGGCACAGTCTCATCTCTCTCTCTTCCCCACAGCAAGCGAATTGTATGGGATCTTTACCTTCTTTTGCCAAAACATTGTTGTAACTGTTTCCCACCTTTCTATGAAGCTTTTGAGTTTTTTGTTGTTTAATGGAATGGAATGTGATAATGTCAAATGAAATGACAATAGTTTTCTTTTTTAACCAGGATTGATCGTAAGATGTCCAATGCTCACACCAACTACAAGCTGGATGAGGCACAGGCTATAATGAATGAGCTCCGGACCATCAAGAAAGCCATTTGTACAGGCGAGAAGGAGAGGCGGGACCTGATGCAGGTTAGAGGCCGGTGCTCTTCAGTGCCTGTGTCCATTTGTCTGCCTGCCTGTCTCTCTTTCCTTTATTTAGAATTTAAAAATATTACATATTTATCATATGCACAATTCATATATATTATAAGACTACACATATATATAATGTTATATATGCATATATATCTTTTATGCCTGTGTATACATATATAGTTAAAATAATGCGTGTTAGTTTCCTAGGGCTGCCATAACAGAGGACTGCAAACCAGGTGGCTTAGAACAAAAGAAATGGATTCTCTCAGAACCTAGAGGCCATAGTCTGAAATCAAGGAGTCGGCAGAGCCCCTCTCTCTCTGGAAGGCTTTAGGGGAGGCTCCGTCCTGTCTCTTCCAGCTTCCGGTGGCTGCTGGCAATGTTGACATTCCTTGGCTTGTGCCTTGGTCATCACATGGTGTTCTCCCTGTGTCTCTGTGTCTAAATTTTCTCTTCTCATGAGGACGCCAATCATTGGATTAGAACCAACTTTAATCCAGTATAACCATGTCTTAACTTGATTCCATCTAAAAAGACTCTTTCCAATAAGCTCAAATTCACAGGTTCCACGGGTTAGGACTTGAACATCATTTTTGGAGGACACAATTCAAGCCACAACAATGGGTGACACATTTATACTGTTCAATAATCAAAATAACTCAAAAAGTCTATGATAAGAAGCCTTGCTGTCTCCCCCTTCCGTCACTACCTATAACTACTTTTATTAGCTCGTGGACCCTTGCTGTGTTTCTGCGGACACACGACAGGGTGAGCACATGCTCAGTGACCCTCACAGGCTACCAGGACTGTACCTGCTGGTCTCACCAGCTCCCTCAGAACGATTGTACCCTGTACCTTTTTCCATGTCTGTGCACAGAGAGCTTCTTCATCCCTCAATACAGCTGTGTGGTGTTCTACCACTTGCATAGATTTAATTATATGGCTGGGATCATTGCAGCTTTATGTTACTTTATTTTTTTACACTTCCAATTCTTATAGTTTCTGCTGTTCTTAGAAAAAGGTGACTTTTTGCAAATGGATGCATGCTGGTCTTTTTGCTCCGTGCTGGCCTGCATTCAATTGTTTCTGTTTCAGCTTTTATTTTTTGCTCAACACACTAAGTGAGCACCTAGCGCTTGGTAGGCATTTGTCTTGATTCTGCAGAATGTAAGACACAGAAGGATCTGGGAAGCAAAGCTCAGATTCATGGGCGAAATGAGACACATGCACACATAACTGCCTTGCAGGGCATTGCTTCCTAAGGTCAAGGACAGGAGAGAACTGTAGAGTATCCCTATGGTGCTCATTAAATTGCAGATTACCGAGCCCCACCCCAGGCCTACTGGATTGAATCTCTGGCCATGGGACCCAGAGATCTGTATTTTTAGACACTCTCTCCAGGCCATGAGAGGTCAATTGTCAGATTTTCTCCAAGCACTGGTAGCAAGGACAACAGCTGTCATTCACTGAGACACCCTGAGCGTGTCACAGAGGTGCTCTGTAGATGTTACCCCTCTAGTCTAAGCCCGAACCCTGGGCCTGAGCCAGGTAGTGTTCCATCACGGGGACATGGAGGCCTCACCCCAGGAGGTTGAGTTTGCCCTGGCCCTGCTGAGTGTGCAGAGCCGGGGCAAAGCCATCCAGTTGCCTCAGTTGGGTTCTCCACTCTGGAGGTTGGAGATAGAACTTCTTGAAGAAGCTTTAGATCCCAGCATCTTCTCTGAGAAGCTCCAGGAAGAGACATGGGTTGCATTATCTTTTAGTAAATCAACTAAGCTGTTTTGTCTTTCTTATATGAGCTTAATAATATCAGTGCATTGCGGGATGCCTTGGTCTAGATCCAGAACCAGCTTTGTGCATTACACTGCACCTGGGCATCCTGGTGTCTGCAGAATAGTCGTTTAAAAAATATATTTTTATCGAATTCAGAAAGAGAGGAAGGGAGAGGGAGAGAGAGATGGAAACATCAATGATGAGAGAGTCATTGATCAGCTGCCTCCTGCATGCCCCCCTGCTGGAGATCGAGCCCACAACCCGGGCGTGTGCCCTGACTAGGAGTCAAACCACCATCTCCTGGATCATAGATTGATGCTCAACCACTGAGCCAGGCTGGCTGGGCGAATAGTCTTAAAAAATTTTAGAAAATCTCATTTCTCTTTAACTTTTACCCAGAGGGCTTCTGTGGGCCAGAATACATACTTCCTCTGATTTTTGGCAAACTAGTGTACCTATGAGGTGACTTTTGACCATGTAGAATTATTGAAAAGTCAGGTTATAAAAATGTGTAAATATTGTCTGGGAGCTGTTTTCACCTTCTGTGTGGTTTATAAAGATCTCAAGGTAGCATTAATCTCAGACTTATTTATTGATAGAACATTTGAGATGTGAATGCCCACCCCCCCACACTTTATTGAGGTACAGTTCACAAACAAAATTGTGTAAATTTCAGGTGTAAAATGTGAAGATTTAATACACATATATATTGTGAAATGATTACCACCATTAAGTTAGTTAACACCTCTGTTACCTCACATAGTTATCTTTGTTGTGTGTGTGTGTGGTGAGGACTTTCAAGATCTATTCTCTTAGCAACATTCAAGTATACAGTACAGTACTGTAGATTACAGGTACTTTGCTGTACATTACATCCCAGACTTATTCATGTTATAACAGGAAGTTTGTACACTTTGACCGACATCTCTACATCCCTCCTGCCTGCCCCTCCCCGCCCCTGGCAACCTCCGTTTTACTTTCTGGTTCTATGAGTTTGAGTTTTTTGGGAGGGGATGCTTTTTATTTTATTTTTTTAAGGAAACACAAAGTTTTGGAAAACAGTAAAAATGGTACCACAATTGTTCTCTATGTTATTCATGTTCTGCCAGGAGTACTCAATTGCTATCTGATTAAAATCACTGAGAATTGTATTAAAGGTGCATGTGGTGCCGGACATTTCTTTGAAATCTAATGGGAATGGGGGTTGGGGTGGCCAGCCCTCCAGTGATGAAGCTGCCGACTTGGACCTGGAGGGAAATGACTGTTTTTAGAGACAGAGAGAGACGCATGGCCATGTTTGTTCAAGCGGCTCATTCATTCTGTTGCAGAGCCTGGCCAAGCTCACTGATGGCTTCAGGAATAACTTTTCTCTTACTGACCCTCTGCAAGAATTCCCTCACCATCCAGGCGCACTTGGCAATTCTCACCAGTTCTGTGATGCTGGGTCTCAGACCGACATTATCGGAGAGGTATGCTTACGGGGAAAGAACTGAGCGGGCCCAGAGAAGAGGGCTGCATTTGTGTGGCCATCACTCGTGTGCTTTAGTTTTCCACTTTCTCTTCAGAATTAGAATTGTTTAGGTTCATTGGCCTGGGATGAAATTAAATGGCTTATTACCTCTAACTTTGTGATTCAGATCCTTAAAAATGGCAGAGTCCTTTTGAGAGTTGAGTTCAGATGTCTTTTTGCCAGACATGTGACTTTTAGAGCAGATAGTAAATATTTGAGGCCTTTTAGGCCACGCAGTCTCTGCCACTCCTACTCAACTGTGTTGTTGTAATGCAAAAGCAGCCATAGGTAAGATGTGAACTAATGGGCAGGGCTGTGTTCCAATAAAACTTTATTTATAAAAACAGGTGGTGGGCCAGATTGAGCCTTTGGGCCTTAGTTTGCTGATCTCTGGCTTAGTACAGTGATTTTTCAAAGGCTTTGTGGCTGTGTCATCCTTGGGTTATACTTTGTTGCTATTTTTTATTCTTCTAAAAGAATGTCAGGAAATTGAATTGAATTAAAATTAATTTTGTTTGGGACTTGAAAGAATTTCATAATGCCCCTTTTTGATGATTAGTGAAACCTTGACTTAGCCACAGAAATACAGTCGGCAGTTGTCATTTGAAGCAGGGTGGTGAATACTTGAAGGCACTACTGCTGTAATGTCATCAAGTGAAGTTTATAATTTATTTGTTACAAATGGAAAAGCAGTTTGGATGGCTTCTTTTCCTCTGGGGTTAAAGATAAAATATCAGTGGAATACAGAATGCCCTCCCCCAAATTAAATTAAAAAAGAAAAAAGAAAGGGAAAAACCATTGACAAAAACCTCTGGGTTTTAAATAATTAGCTAACATTCTGAAATTTTGGCAGATAGTGCCTCTTTGAGGGGACTATAGTAGAGTAAATAATGACTTCTTATGTCTTAGATGTCCCGGAAAAGCCCTATTTTCAGTTTTCCCCTCATTGTTTTTAAAAGTAGGATCAGATGTTTTTGACCAGGATCTTTGGTTTAAAGAATATGGTGACCACGATAAGAATCTGTAAGTCAAAAACGTCTGGCATTTTTTGCCTAAAGGTTTTGGCAGGAGGGAAGGAAAGAAGTACAAGACTCAGTGAATTCCGTGAATAATTTTGCTGCTTATCATAAGGTTAGAATTTAGAGACTATTAACTAGTTTGAGAGAAACAGGTTAGATTGCAGGTTCTCTGATAGTTTTCTGACAATGTCAGGGGAGAGTGGCTGGCTACGTGGGTTTGAGCTGCGTGGATGCACTTACACGATGTGTATCAGTAAATTCATTGCTAATCATTCAAGTAGAATAGTTTCAAATATTTGTTGACGAGGTTATTTTAAAAAATAGAAGCTTAGTAGCCCTAATATATGGTCTAGTAAGGTAAGATCTACAGATGGAGGCAATTTATTGAAACTGAGTCATGTATTTCCAGGAATGAAGGGAAGTACCCAGGGGGAGCTACTGTTACCTCCCATACAGGTCTTTTTTTCTTTTGCTTAGGGATTTGTTGACTTCAATGTAATTAGTATGAAAATATTTAAGTAGAGCTAGTGGTCATAGCAGAGCATAGCATTTCAAGTCTAACTCCTAAAGTGATGCGCCCCAATCTTGAGCTTTCTTTCCTTTTCCTTTGGTTCTTTAACAGGCCATGGAACATTTGGAGGAGTCCTGTAGCCCATCCCTCACACAGCTAGCCCATCATCTTAGATCTGGTGACTTCTTAGGAGAACTTCATTTTGCATTTGTTAGGGAATGAGAGAATATACTGCTGAGTAGTATTCCGTGTGTTTCCTTCCAGACCTTTGAAAAATGGAAACTGAAAGATGAATTAAAATTTCTTCATTGTTGCTGAAATTTAAATGAATATTCTACTTTGAAAATATGTTTTTAATATGTTT